CCGCTCCAAACAAACCGTTGCTAGGGGCGTTGTTGTGGACGAATACATGGGAGTGGATTTCGCTTTAAACAGTCCGAAAGAATGATCAGTCAAAATCGGACATAGGATATAAACGTCGAAATATAATAGATAAAGGAAGCCTAGATTTCACACTTGCCACGACAGAAGTTTGATGAGAATAGGCTGTAACTGAAATATTTGCGATGGCAACTTCCATTCCTCGAGACGTCTCGAGGTGCCTGTTGCAGACGACGAACCCGTGACAGACGCACACGAATGACTAAAGTATGGTGCACAAACTGAAGTATGCCGCCTGCAGCAGTTTCAATCGTCTGCACTATGATACGATTTTGATTTTGTATTTATTTGGAATATGGCAGGCCTAAAAAAACTGAGCAGGTTTATAAAAACGAATTGTGTTTGCATACGAAAATTATCACACGCATGGAGAGCTGCTAAAAAATACAGCGAGAAAAGCATCAGCGTCGGATCTTCTTTCTGATTTTGCAGTTGACGTGCATTGTAATGAAAGAACAATTATTTTGACTGTAACTTGAGCGGTTAAAGACCCCAAATTTGTTTTTCAGGCTCGCAATATGGTTGTGCGTTTCGTACCTGCCTTGTAATCATCAAACTGAGAAAAAAAATCTTACTGATTCTTCAGTTTTAAGACCCCAAGCGTGCATGACTGAGAAGGAACGCTTCAGGTTAAAAAAAAAAAAACGTTTTCTGGCTTGGGAGGAGGAAGCAGACAGAATGCTAAAGGGAGGAGGATGTTTCCTCCTCTCCTCTCGAGCATTCTGTCTGTTTTCTCCTCCCTGACCTTCTTTCCCTAGAAAACTTTTTTTTAACGTGTAACTGACTATAGAAGATTTGAGCGTTCCCTTACCCTGAGTGTAAAAGGTAAGGAGGCCAGAATGACCTTGCCTAGCCACTCTCGCTCTAGCTTACCAACGAACATTCTAGGTTGAATATGCTCGAGGTGCCAACAGGGGCGAACGCAGGTATTTCTTGACGGGGGGGGGGGGGGGGGGGGGGGGTCAGGTGTTGGTCAGCGTATCATATGTTTAAGAACCCCCCCCCCTTTTCCCGTTTCCACGCCCTAAATTTTTACACATGCAGAATTAAAGAGGGTGGTCAGGACATCCGGACCTTCCCCCCTGAATCTGCGCCTGGATGCCAAGCGTAGTATAGATAAGGAACCGAGCACGGCTTTGTCAACTCACAGGGCAGCTGTCACGCCGACACATCGTCGCTCACTGCTGCGTCCGCCGACGCTCATCCTTTCTTTTGTTTCTAGGCACAAGTTCGCCGATTAGATCTTTATTTTGTCCTTTACGGTTGTCGATCCGTTTCCAACTGCGACAGTATATATAAGTTATGGACAGTACCTTTGATAGCACAGATGTGCACTTAAGCAACTGTGCTGTCAGATATCCTTGAAACGTGCACTTCTACCTTGATACACTTTACGTCGTTGTCGTATGTGATCCAGCATCACAGTGTTTTCACCTTCTCAAATATTGCGGAAGCAAGCTGCACGTAAACTGCGTTCGCGCGCTCGTGCATCTCGAGCGTCGCTCAAAGCTGTGTACAGGCACTTTTTGCTTCCGAAATCCCACAGAAAGTTGACCCCGAGAATAGAAGTTTCGTCGATCATCACCAACCTCACTCAATGCGGTCGTGGTGTGAGGTTAGTGACGAAGCGACCGTGTCGTCTGCTAGCAAGGCAAAACCGATTCTGAAACTTTATTACAGGCTTTTGTCATCGCTTTATGGCACTGAGACGATAGAAAAAGTATTCATGATTAGATATGAAAGACACAATGTTTACCAAAAATTATTTACTTCTATATCATACCCTTTCTAACCTCACGTCGACCCCTTATGAATATTTTCCTAACAACGGCCTTAGCAACGGTTTGTTTGGAGCGGAGCGCCATATTATTGCGTCATCACTTACGGGGTAAAGTAAGCTAGTTCGGGTGTGCGTTGGATAACATAACTGAAATCAAGTCTTCGTGAATTACTTTTTCTAGTGTGAAAAATATACAATATGAAGCACCCGTTCGAATCTGTGCCACGAAGAACTCACCTGCTGTCACCAGCATAACGGTTACCACGTGCGCCATGGACATCTCGGTGAACGCTGTCATGGCTGCTTCCCGATTAACTTCTCTGCTTTCAGACCTGGAGAGAAACGAAACGAAACTGATGACGAAAAAGATGTCTCCCGACATGACAGATAACACCATTTAATGTCATTTACACAACGCCTCGGAAACACTTGGCCGCCCACTGCTCTGCGGCCATCGGGCGGCCATCTTGCGCCCTCCCGAAGTCGACCTTTTGGAACGTTATAGAGGCTAGGCTGCAGCGTGCTGAAGACACGTTTTGTGCCCGCCCGCCGTCATTCGCCAAAGAAGTTTCTTTAAAACCTTGTGTAAACGGTCGTAGTTGCCTTTGAGAGCACGTGGAAATTTTTACGAAAGCGCAGCGCCACAGGATAAAAGCACAGCTCGTCGAACGCAATTTACGTCTTAACGCACGTTGCACTCGCACTCGCGAAACACATCCGCACGGCGTCAATTCTTCATCGGTATGCAAGCGTGCGAATTGGCACGGAGACGGAGCACTTCGGCGTACCAAGGAAGCTTTGATCACGCCGCGAGACCGGCGAGACTTGCGTTCGACGAATTGCGCCTTTTTCCTTGTGGTGCTGCGCCTTCGTAAAATTGTTCATATCTTCTCAAAAGCAACTACAACTGTTTACACGCAAAATTAAAAAAAAAAAAACTTCGACGAATGACGGCAAATGAGCAGAAAACGTGTCTTCAGCACGCTGCCGCCCAGCCGCCCAGCCAAAAGATGCCAAAAGATCGACTTCAGGGGGACGCAAAATGGCCGTCCGGTGGCCACGCCGTCCGGTAGTCGCATTTGCGCTCCAGCGAGAACCTCCTGCAGCCCGGTGGCGAAAATGTGAAACAGAGAAACAGGGATGAAATGAACATCGCTGGAATCGTGAATAGGTGTGACGAAAACACAGTACCGATCGAGGTCCTTCTTTCCTGGGATAAATCTACGAAGAAAACCAAGCAGCAGTGTCGGTAATACCGCCCGATTATGGCTTCAACGGGATCAGTGCACCTCGTAAAACATTCAAAAGGGCTGCATGCGTGCGCGTTGCTCGTAATTTCCCCATCCTTGACATACACACAATCGATATTAATCGTATTGTAACGCGGAACAAGGCAAATGCTTTCCAGAGATTTTGATGCAGAATGGTGAACCTAGCGCAAAGTCCTCACCGGAAAGTGAGGGCTTTTATCTCACCGGGTATTACTCTTCGGCGTAATAACGCAACACACTTGTATTATTACTCCTCGGCGTAATAACACAGCAAAACATTCGCAAAGACACGGATTAATAAATATAGGCTGTATCTAGAGTGCCCGTCCGACGGCACTCCTCTCGCGCCTTCAAGTGCCGTCCGAAAATGGTAAGCACAAGTCACGCTTATTCTGACAAGTGTTCCATCAGCAGCTCGTCGACAATTTGTTTTAACATAAGGCGCGAGTGAGACAAGCGCTATAGGAGCGAGCAGCATGTTTTCTTTTGTATGTTTGTGCCTGCGCTGTACAGGCGCGTGATCTCTTCAAGTTTGACGAAGTTGCACTCCCTCGAAGGTTGCGATTGTAATTTAAAATAAATTTGAGTTCTTCTCGAGTAGCAGCAATAGTCCCCCTTCATCCCCCCCCCCCCCCCCCCCCCCCCCCCAAAAAAAAAAAAGAAAAAAGAACATTGCACATTTTTTTAGGGCCCGCGTATTGAACCTAAACATTTGTGAGACTGGTTACTATTTGTTATAAACAAAGATCTATGATTTTGGAAGGCCACTACCGTCGTGAAATTTTTAGTATATGTACTTTGGAAGTCATAATTGGAAAATTTAATACAAGAAAGTACAGCTAAAGTAGGCATACCAATTTCGGCCACAAAGTGCCAAAAGCAAGACATATCCTTTACCAAGAGACGGCATTTGCTCGGTAGGGGCATCGTAGGACGGCACTTGAACGCTCCGCAGGAGTGCCGTCAGACGGCACTCTAGACACTGTGATAAATATAAAGAAATTAAATTCACCACCCACCTCAAGCAGCTCAATTGATTCCCCCACAGAAATTAGTCAATCAACCATACACCAAGTGTTAATGTGCAAGTTAGGGACCCTGTAATACGTAAACAATGGCTGCAGATTTTTTTTTGTGCGTCATCTAGCTTTATATCGGCACCCTGTATCTAATGAAAATAAAAAAAAAAATCCATACATACAACTAAAGAATAACGAGAAGATTATCTGAATTCATACATACATAGTAGTCATGCGCGAATAGTGGATTTTGAGTTCAAAGCGAATTCGAAGTGAATAGTGGTTTTGGCAGAATATTTTCGAATCGAATATCGAATAGTTTTTCTAAGTCGTTCACTACTGTACCATGACCATGCTTAAATTAAACATAAACCAAGCTGAACTCATGAAGGTTGTTCCCAAGCTTTTATTTGTCTATTTCTAAGCTAAATTAATTTTAATCTAACTATATCGATTGTGGCTTCAGAAAGTTCAATGTCCACATTGGGTTGGCAAGTAAATGACGCATTTGACATAAAGTTAAACCTCTGAGATGCCCAGCTATACCTAATCGATGAGATTTATAAATATTCTTGCTATATACAAATACATTTTCTCCAGTCACAAATGATTACAGAAGGTTGTCAGGCAGGGGCGGATCAAGGACTCCGTTTGGGGGAGGGGGGGGGGGGGGCGAGGCGGAAAATTTGAAAGGATACTATTCTCCATTTTTTCTTGTGCACCGGGGGGTCCACTCATGTCAAATTGCCCTCCGAAAAGAGGGGAGGGGAGGGAGTGGACTTTGTTTGGGGAAGGGGGGGGGGAGGGCAGCCGCCCCCCCCCCCCCACCCCCCCCCCCCTTCGGATCCGCCCGTTGTCAGGGCATCTTTGCCTAACATATACTCATGCATAATACATTTATATTTTATATTTTGTTACGTTTTGAAAATTTTACTGCAATGTAAATGTCAACATTCACAACGTTTCAAGTTCTTTTTACATACACCAGACGCGCGCGTGCACCATCCCGCTTTGAAAGTGTGACTTCTTCCAACGCACGCCGCTGCAAAATTTGTACCTTTAGAGTATTGATCGCGGCGTTTTAGCCCCATTGAGTGCGCTTCTCGCCGAGCACCGGTGCACTGGGGAGAAGCAACACCCTCGGAAGCTAGCTTCGCGGGTGTTGCTTCTCCGCGGTGCACCGGTGCTCTGTAAGAAGCGCGCTCAACGGGACTAATTTGCCGCGATCGACACTTCGAAAAATACGAATATCGCAGTTGACCTCGCAGCGAATATCGATTAGCGTAATATTTGAAACAACTATTTTAAAATTGGAATATTCGAAATCGCACAACACTAATATATAGTCATTCGCGCAACTATACTTTATGCTTATTTCTTAGCGTCACTATGCAAGCATTCATAGCGTCAGCGCCAAATTGTTGCACTCTTGCGGTTGACTCGACTTATTTCATCTTAACCGCCAATGTAATCATGTCCACATTTTTCGTCGAATGACGGACAGAAACATTTGCATTAGAAACACTGAACGAAAGCTGACATTGAGAGAAATCTGAAATCGTTCCTTCCGTTGCTGTTCTCACCGTTCTGCGGCGAAACTATGCTTTGAAAACCAAGACGAACGGTTCGAACAATAATACACTGCACACGGCTCTTCCGAACACAACAATATTCTCATTAATCACATTGTTAATGTTACCAAGGGCGCCATAATGTCTAGCCGTTCGGTGTTTCCGTCTGCCGACGTTCGCGCTCGCACATCGGTTAGCGCCCGTCGGTTCGTGACTCGCTTGAAGGACAACTGTACGCGAAGAGCTACGTTCAGATTCTCTAATGTGGGCAGGTTTCTTCGTTGGCGCGCCCTATGTAATGCGAGAGCTGCGAGTAGAACATCCTGCCGCAGCTACGTCCTGCTTAGAAAGCAAGCGGCATACACGTATACGCCTCGCCACTTCGGCACGAGGTATACGTGACATCTTAGCAGCGTCCGTTTCACTTTGAACCTTACAATGACCGCCAACGTGATATACTAGTACGACGGCACGTAAAATCCCGCTGTGGTGCACAGAGGCTTTCTGACGAAAGCTTTCCAACAGTCTGGAAAGCTCTCGTCTCACGTTCATAGCGAAGGCAACGTTGAATAGTGAGGCGACAATTCACCCCCGGAGCCGCACCATCATCGTATCATCGTGCGATCAATCCGACCCGTGCTGTCCTTCCCGTGACCGTCAACACGCGCGTGACATACGGACCCGTAAAGGGCGCGATATTTCAAATCGAGTCGAGGTGCCCCCGAGCAATGAATCTGCAAGGGCCGCAGTCCACGAACGCGCCAAGCCCGGGCGCAACTCAAGCCAAACAGCCGAAGGGCCAAGGCATATATTCTCACCGTCCCAAAACGTCCCGACGAGAAGAGCCGGCGGCGAGCTAGCGTCGTCGTCGCCACGGGTCGTTCCAACCGGCGTCGCTGCCGTGCGCACCTCGGTGCACGGCGCTTCGCCTTCGAGAAGTTTCTCTCGGCTGCCGGTTGCGGGGCAACTAGAAGCTGGGAACAGCCGCTGGGGTCACGGCGCCGCAGCCAACGAGGCCGTCGCTTGACCGCCTTACCCCGATGTCCTATCTCTCCGAGTGCGGACGAGCAGTCACTGGAACCGGATCGGCACCGCCAACACGCGGGGGGGACGCCCTTGCTAACTTCTCGACTGGCCTCGCTCACGCGTTGCTAGGTGTCCATCTAGAATACCCACAGTCCAGCATACGAGGTGCCACGTACTCCGAGTTGGCACGGCGGCATTACATCAGGGCGTTTCCCTGAAGGCGAGGCGCATCGGCCGCGGCCGGCTTCGGCTGCCAGGTTGTCGGAAAGGCTGTCTCGCCCGATTTCATCGAATTAAAATTTGTGATGACGTCAGTTCGCGTTGATGGCGTCAGCGGTTCTCCATTTTAGTACGGCACGCCGCCAAGGTGTTCTTTCTTTGTGACGTGCCCATCGGCAACTCAATTGTTGTAGTAGTTGCAACAGCTGCGAGAATTGTCTGATGA